GCCACTGGACATCAACAGCATAAAAACTACCTATATTTAGAAGCGAACGTAAAAAGATGTGTTTTGGCACAGCACCGAACAGGAAGTAAAGTAGCTGCCAGGCAACTGGGTTCTGAAATTTGATCCAGCTCTATGTGCATCATTGTTTGTCACGATACCTTAGCTGAGGGTCTCACTTAGGCATAGGGATGCCAGACCTCCAGGTGGGACCTGGGGATCCCCCGTAAATACAGCTGCTTTGGAGGGTGGACTCCGTGACATTGAACCCCACTGAGGTCCCTGTCCTCCCCAGGCTCCATCCCCAAATTTCCAGGAGCTTCCCAACCTGGATCTAGCAACCCTACCCCCCATCCCCTGCTGGTGGCCAAGGGGTCCTGGCAACCCTACTTAGTCACATTTCTCCTCACGGAATTTGGAAGAGCGAGAGGGAAAGACAAGATGGCTACCAAGTATTCTGTCTGTGAGGGGACAGTCTGCAGGTTTTCAGAGGGAGTGAGGCAACTCAAGATTCACTTATTTGGTGCCAATGGGCGTCTGGTCTTCAAAAACGCAGATGTGACTAATCCACAGGATTAAACTACAGGTGTTTTTAAGTTAAAAATCAGGGGAAACCTTGCTAAGTATCAGGCTTATTCTAAACAAGCTTACCTGGACGTACATCCCATATAGTTCAGTGGGTTCTCTTTCCGGGTCAGTAGGTTTTGAATGGTAGGAGTTGAAAGAGCGTGAAGCCCTTCACAAATTGGCTGAACAGTATCTGCCAGTGGGGCTGTGACTCAGTGGTAGAGCCTCTGCTTGGCATGCAGAAGGTCCCAGGTTCAATCCCCGGCACCTCCAGTTGAAAGCAACAGGTGGTAGTTGATGGGAATGTCTTGTACCCTGGAGAGCCGCTGCCAGTCTGAGTAGACAACGCTGACCTTGATGGACCAAGGGTCTTATTCAGTACAAGGCCGCTTCATGTGTGTTCAGTCGTGCTACTTCAACTTTTCAAAGTCACTTCTGGGATCATAGAGATGTAAATTAAATCTAAGGTGTGCTATTGTGATGTATTCAGTAGCTGCCAATGGAATACATAACTGTATGTGAACCACCTCATTGAAGTGCTATGTTAAGCTTCGTCCTGGGCTAGAATCCTAATCCCTCCAATCCTATTGGTAGCCCAGGAAGAACCAGCCAATCATGTGCCATCAAGCTCCCTGAGCGGGAACGTCTGTGATTGGACTTTAGTTATACAATCTTATTGGTTGGTATTGTATAGTAGGCGTGGCTACATTAGCCGGGAGAGTTTAAAAGTGGAACAGCTTCAGTGAGGTGGTTCACATACAGTTATGTATTCCATTGGCAGCTGTTGAATACATCACAGATATCCAGTTGAATTGTTCAGGATAGGCCGTGACCTAACAGTATCATGACCCAAAGCAGGTGGATTCGGCTAGATTCGGCTGGATTCCAGCTCTGTCACCCAGAAGCTGCCTGGGAAATCAGTTAAACTGAATTGTGGGCCTGCTCAGGGGGAAAAAAGTAAGCAGAGTTT